GTGCGTGTCAGTGGGGTCTCTCTTACAATTAAACACATTCTAATTGAACTCAGAATTTACGAAAAGGATATCATTTATTGCAGTCGGTTTGATCGTGGCTAATAACAGGGCAATAATAATAAACCAAGCATGCTCACCCCGTTATTATTTATGAATGTACCTATTCAAATCATGATTTTTTTTACTTTTTAGAGCACACTTAAAGAACATGTTTACATATATACTTATGGATTATTTATATCATTTAAGAAGTGTAATAGTCTTCTTTTTTTTAAAAAAAAGAACTCACTCTTTTACTCTATTCTGTACTAGTCGATGATTTTTTTGAAAATGTTGATATGATTCTGAATCGAAAATGGAATGAGAAGTTCACCTATTCAACCTATTATTGGTTAGTAATCCTTAAAAATGGTTAGAAATCAATGAAAAATAATGTAATATTTAATCTAGTACTCATTCAGCCAGTTTGTACAAATTATAAAATTGTATAGATTAATATTAATAACAACACTTTCCAAAAAATCATCTGGTTAATAATTTACAGTGGAAAAGGTTGGTATAACAAAATACCTATAAACCTATAAATGTTCAAAATAAATATAGGTACCTAGGTACATCAATATATCATGTAGATAAAACATACTAGGATTTTTTTAGAAATAAAAAATGTATTGTTATATTGAAATTACAACATGATTACTACATTTTATTTATTAAATATAAAATACATATATTTATAGGTTCAACAAGACACAGAATTATTGTTAGTCAAAAAATTGTTTAGTAATTATTCGGGCATCAAGCATAATAATTATTTACCCATAAATTAGCATTAGCAATATAATAATATATAGTTGATAGTTGATGAGTGATGACCACCTGTCAAAATCTAACTGAAAATAATAATGAAAATAAGTAATACTTAGGTGCTGCACTATTAAATAAGTGGAAAAAAATTGAGATTAAAAAAAGGCCGTGGGTCTAAAAGCAATAAACATAATTATTTTTCGAATTTTAACCAACTCAATTAATAACATTCATCATTGAGATTTCTATAGTATGAGATTGACTCCATTGTTTTTCGGATAAAACAAATAAGATGCGCAATATAAAAACATATTCGATACGAGTGAAACGTTTTCATTGACATATTTAAGTATATATCACGCAATAATAGAATGTCCACAATATCCTAAAACGAATTCGGATTTGGCAAGGCAGTCGTGCTGAAAAACTATACGCATTTCCTACATTTTATTTCTGGTACGGCGATTTAGATTTTGGCAATTTTCAAACCAAATTGTATCAAATAAGTGTCAGGAGGGGAAATTGGAACAGAAAAAAAAACTGTCTTCGAACACACTTTACGACGAATTCCTATCGCATACCAGTGATCACACCCATGTCACATATTATATACTGGGCCGAACGTTCTTTATTAATGAAAATTCGGCCTCCGCGTACCAAGCCGATATCGTGGACTTTAGACGACATTGTTGACAACTTAATAATCTATATTGCGAAATACTATCTTGCGTAGTGACGGATATGCGACGACGACGGTATAATATGATGATCGTATCCGACGAATTATTATTTTTACGAACATTTTATACACAGTCAGCTACGGGATGATGTATGGAAAAACTGCTACGTGACGTATTTTATATTCAATACGCCTAAACGAAACCATTTATTATTTATCACCTTCTTTCATTTATTCAAGTCGCAGTTAACTTCGACGTGGAGGCTGCTTGCGAGACCTCTCCCACCACGCGCTGTCCCCACAACGAATATAATACTATAATATTAGAATATGATAATGTCATCAAGATCTGGCAAGAATTGACGTTTTATGTCAAATTATATAGCCCCATATAGGTACGTTAACTTTAGCCCTTGGAAAAACATCGTTGTATACTTATTTACTACCAAAATAATGTTTTTTTATCGCCTGAATATCAATAAGTATCTATGACCAGGCGGTATATAGAAAAATTAAGTTACAACGATAAAAAAGGGGATTTTCCTATTGTTTTCAAATTACATTTTGTATCTAAAATAAATAAACTATTCAAATATATAGTACAACCTACTTTGGCTATACTCGTTAATCCGTCAATGCTAGCAATAAGTTTACTGGTACAATAGGTTCTCTGTGCCGGTTTCACTAAAATATGGTCCATGTCTATATAGTTACAAATTATGCATGTATAAAGTAAAGTTATATTGTGATAATTTAAAGTTCATGGCAAAGTGGTTCAATTTTTTTGAGGTTGGGTGGTCTAGTATAATACATTATTACATTGAGTGTAATCTATATCTATATCTATACTATTATGTAAAGTGGAGTTGTTAGTTACCGTTGTTTAGGGTAATCACTTTAACTACTGAACCGATTTCGATAGGCTAATTTAAAAAGGGAATTGATTACCCCCGGTAGGTGCTCAAATAGGAATTTGAAGATTTACGATAGACATTTTTGTTTCTTTCTATGGGTTAAAGCTTGTCAAAGCTGGAGATCATGGAGGAAAAGGAAAACGCTGACGGGATATGACTAGATACGACTGCGGCTTTTACGTGGGGCCAGTGCTGTACAGTTGTGGTGTACCCGCCGCCTCTTTTGCAGGAGTACTACACCGACCTGGGGCCCTATTCTCGAATTTTGTCGCATTCGACATAAATCAGAACTCGATCGATTCATCGTCGAACTCGATCGATTCGTCGTTCATGGTATTCTCGAAATGATGTCTGACTTTTCTCGAACGAAAAACGTTCGACATTATGTCTACTGCTATATCGCATTCGACAAAATTTAGTCGAATGATTTGTTAATTTTGAGCACCATAGATTTAATATATTTCACACAAATCAACTGCAGAATACTATGATTATTGATAAGTCATATTGTATTCTTGTGTTTAGGTACTTGTATTACGATTGTCGATTACCTTTTCATTTTGTTAATTTATTATTGTTGTTTTATTTTATAACTGCTGAGTTAATATTTTATTAAATATAACAATAATGGCGAATGAGTATGAAAGAGCTATGATGTTTGCTATTGCTAATATAGAGAGTTAATATATCAAAATGTCAGACAACCGTTTGGCATTAAAGTAGACCCTTTATTAGCATTAAGTGATCATCTTTTTATAAAAACTTACCGATTGAGTAAAGTTTTAACAAAATATTTAATCGAGTTAGTCACACCATTTATGGAACCACCAAAACGTACGTCGGCTTTGAGCATCCAAAATAAGGTAATAAATAATCCCACCAAAAACATATATGTAAAATGAGAGCCAAGTTCAATACTATAATATATGCCTTGGTTGTTGACTTCAGCGACAAAAGAAGTGAGATCTAAATGGGTGCCAAGTTAGGATAATATATTGAAGCCTAAGGTGTGACTTGGCTACTTTTCATATACGAATTATTATAAGTACCTACTAAAACAGTAATGGAAGAGTGAAGATGATTTTCCGAAGAATAAAATAAGAACTCAAAGCTTTAGAACTTGCAAATGCTATAATATATAATTCGTAGCCAAGTCAGACCTTAGGCTTCAATATATTATCCTAACTTGGCACCCATTTAGATCTCACTTCTTTTGTCGCTGAAGTCAACAACCAAGGCATATATTATAGTATTGAACTTGGCTCTCATTTTACATATATGTTTTTGGTGGGATATCATTACTTTTTGTATGTAAATTATTGTAACCTAACCTAACCTAGCCATGACGTATTCTATAAATAAAGTTTATTACTATATAATATAATTCAGTTACTAATATTAATAATAATATTTATTATAAAATATTTTCCGTTGTATATACAGAGTATAAAATATATGTAAAATTAATATACAATTATTTTAACTCTTTTTGAGTATATTTTTAATTATCATAATTTTATTGACTGTAGTTTCTACTGTTGGGTGGATAATTCATAATTTGTAAGAATAATTATTTAATTATTTTAATTGTAATATTTAAAAAAAATAATATTAATTACATACATAGATAGAAAAAAAAGTATGTTGCTGCGCGCGGGTCGACAATATCGACACATATTTGGCTAGTCGTATTTTTGGAGCGGCGATACGGGAAAGGTTATTTAAGTCAACATTACATTAAATTAGAGGCAAATCATTAATAAATTGAAAAATTAAACATAATAGATAAAATAATTGCAAAATTATAATAAAATCAATTGATTAAAAAATTAAAAACTAAAAAAATTAAAATTAAAAATTAAAAAATTTTAAATTAAAAATTTTCAAGTTTCTGATTTTTTCCTTTGTATTTACCTAACTACCTATCTGTATGCCAAATTTGAACTATCTAGGTCATCTGGAACTGGGTTAGAATTTTGATCTATAGGTAAGTCAGTGATAAAAATGACGATTTTCGGATGTTAATATCTAAATAACGGTTTGAAGTGTGTTTATGAAATTTAGAGCACATATGTATCTCGTTAGTCTCAATATATGAGCCAAATTTGACATGTTTATGTGGAATAGTTTTTGAGTTATGAAGGGGTCAAAAGTGGCTCCAAATGGTTCGTGTAATATTACACACGGTGCTGCTCGCCAGTTCTGTTAGCTAGAACTTGGCTTGACACGCTACCGCGTGTCTAGATAATTAATAACAATAATAAGGGTAGGTACTTATACTATTTTAAATGTAAAAATATGTTCTTAGGTTTTAATTGCATTGCAGTTTTTTGGAAATGGGTCATATCATAGGCAATATGATAATAGGCATGACAAATTTAATTTAATATGGTAATATAATAGGTAATAATAGGTATATTAGGTATAACAAGAATTAACAATTAAACAATTTGATTAGTAACAATCACGAATTAAGATATATCTTAATTCGTGTATCAATATATCATATTTTGACGGGAATATTTCTGATAATAAATGAATTTTAGGTAATACCATTGTGGTTCACTCGACAAGATTATTACTAGTCGACATAATCTCGAATGCGACTAATTTTAGTCGAATGCTTTTGGAGAATAGCGCTTTGCAGTCGACTACGACATAATCATTCGAGTTTAGTCGCACACGACTTCTTGTCGATCGATCTCGAGAATAAGATCCCTGGCCATATTGGACGTAATGGAGCCACCGCCTATGGCGTGTTGCGTAGCAGAGTATATGTTTGTGTATCCATGTACTGCCGTGGCACGGGCGGTTCCTTCGTGGTCAGTCGCCGTTTGATGACCGCTTTCTAACGAAATTGACGAAAATTGCTGTGTGGTATGTGTCTACTAATATTCCAAATGAATCTTCGCTGATATATATTATAACATACCTACGTATAATTATTCCGATTTCGGTTCGAATTGTTCATCACGGAAGTTACACGGGTTTTGGGAGTTTACTTATTTTATATTTCTTATTATTCTACGACACTCTATTGACATCTTTTTGTACCCGGCAAAAACGTGCGACGCCTCGGGGATCGCCAGGTGCTGATACAAGGGGTAGGCTATAGGAATTGTAACTTATGATAATACGACGTGACTCGTGACTGGCATACGGAAAATCTTGATAAATAATTATTACCTTCTAGTTTCCCTAAAACGTATAATTTTAAAAATCAATTCATACATTTAGTCTAAACAATTGTCGAGTGAACTATAAGATCCGTGAATAGTACACTGTTAGAGTTTGTAACGAGAAAAAAAATGTAAAGGGTTAAAACACATCTTATACTAGAAAACATTTCATAGATTATGAAAACTGTTTATTATAAAGCTATTCACAAATATTTTTGGTAAAAGCGAATGTGAGTTTTTTTAGTTGACTAATAATAATGATAATTATAATACAATTTTTTATTATTGTGGTCATAATATTATTATAATATTGTCCATGCCAGTATGGTAATACTGTCCCCTTATGAAGATTTAATATGCCGCCCAACATTTACAGTCATAAACCACTGGAAATCCTTATGGGACACTCGTTCAGCGTCAGGGAAAGGGTTAGACCGACGCCACAACACAATATTTAAACTACAATATTATTATAATGCACGCACAGGTAGGTATAATGTCTATGGATCCTGTACGGCTTAACGTCATCAAACCCTTTTCTCAGGCCCAGAGCATTAAAATAATAATTCATATAATAATATTGAAGACTGCGTTAACTGCTGTAAAAAAAATATGCATGCTATCCTGGAACACGAATTTAATGAAGTGCGTTTTTTTTTAAATATTGAAAATGTTTTCATTGGATATTTTGGGAATCTGAAGTATTCAACAATTGATCAAACTATTATAACAATACTGTTTAATAATTGGGATTATGACAATTGAATCTGTAGTAGTTATGAGTACATACCTGCATGGCAGTAATGTACTGTTCTTAATTCTAACGGTTTGTTAATTGAGATACTGTGCTACAATCATTACCAATAATTCATTGTATTGATAATATTATAATGGCGTTAAAAGGTATTATAATATTTTAATCCCTTCATTTATCGAGTATAGTCTTGGCACGAGTTCTTTAAGATCGTCTACGATCTTCCCGAGTTTTATTTACAACAATACAATTCGTCTATTTCGTGTAATATTATACTACGGGTTCTGCGCATCCCCTTATACGTCACCCTCCTGTTGAAACTGATTCCCCTATGACAGGGTGTGGCGTAGGGGAACCAGTTTTGGTCGGTCATGATCTCTCGTGGAACAGAGTATAGTGCCGATAATATTATACTATTATTTGTATGTTCAGCAGCTTAAAACCTAAATATATTCTTTATATATACATATTATAGTTATGTCCTACTAACATCAACTATATGATCACTTTGTACTTCAAGTACTATGTTTCGTCCTGTTTTAAGATTTTGTTTGTACTACATTTTTGGGATTTAGTTTTCTCTACCGACTGATTGAAATATTTCATGTATGAAGTAGTAGAATATTACGAGGGGCTAAATTTATTCTAGTATAACATATATGTATCAATTATCCATGGTATACAATACAAAATGTGATGTACCTGCAATAATATTACATTTTGAGCACATAAATAATAAGTATATAACTGATTAGTAATCAGCACCTATATTGTAGACAAAACCGCTACGCGACCTATGTAAAACGTTGTCGGTCTGCAATAATTGCTCTTCCAAATTCGTGCATATTATTATACCAAACGAGAATTATTGTTGGGCAAGTCAGAATATTTATTCATATAAATGTATTCGTAAATTTACTCATCGGACCTGTTTGGAACACTGTTTTTTCCATTTTCATCATCATATCTATTCTTAAGAATTTCCTCGGTGTGGTTAAATATTGTAATATCGTTATAACCTTCAGCTGCTTATGTATACAGACAAGAACTAAAGGAACAATTTCCATTTATTTATTCATCGATCAAAATTCAAAGTATAGTCTACAAAAAAAATGGTATTCGCACTTGCGTCAAATTCGAAATTGTTTTTTTGGCTTTATTATAGTAATTTCCTTTACCTTATTAAATAAGTGTTATACGAACTGTAGCGTGATATTTTTATGTACTTATATACTTCAGTTAGGTACATTATAGGAATAAAAATAATATTATGGTAAAAAAAACGAATTCCACATTACTGAACATTTTAGTGTTCACTTGTACGTTTAACGAATGAAAATAATCACAGAGAATCCAAAAAAATTTAAACTGTAAAACAAAATCAATTTTGCATTTTCACAAGTTAATTTTGTGCTGCTTTCGATATGACATTATACAATATTGTAATAATGTTTTAAAAAAACCACTAATTAGCTCACTTATTGTTGCTACAGTACAATGCACCTACTTACAAGCAACGAACACCGATTTATGTAATTGCCACGATTGACCGTGTCAGCCTGAACGTGATATTTTACTGACAGCATATTATATTCTCAAAATAAATAATAATAATTTATACTATTTATACTTGAATAAATAATATTGTAAATTATGATTTAAAATCACAAACTGTTGTTCAATTTTGTATTTGATTCAGACTCTACCATTTAAGGGTCGCCAAATTACCACTTTCCGTAATCAACATTATTCTAAATCTACTAAAAATTATTATCCTTTTTTTTTTTTTCTTACTTTTCAAGATGATAATCGGCCCCACTGGACTACTGTGATTATGGATCTATTCTTACGCAATGATAACTATGGTTTAAGTTTTATGTACCAACAATTATGGTCGAGATGGGTAGGTACTGCGCACAAATAAATTGTCTATAGGTACTCAAATTTCATTTGGATATTGTATACATACATTAATGATAACTCGTTATAAAAACGTGAATTTTCGTGTACGAACACTAGAGTTTCGCCATGCATATGGGCACGTATATAATATATATTATTATAGAGCGTGCCAAGAGGGTAGATTTAGGGATTAGAATCTCCGCCAAAGGGTCCGGCTTAACGCTTTAGGTATAGGCTATTTTTTGTCATTATTATTATTTTAATTGACTGTATATCGAGTTACGCGAACACTAAATTTGAATGCAACTCCTCGCCCTCACAATCTAGGCAAATATTAGGAAATATAAGGATTATTTTGAACTTTCAAGGACACTGTTATATTATATGAAAATATATGTTGGTATACCAATAATTTAATATTTACTTAACAGTTTACTATTATTGTTTAATTATTTTTACTTTCTTGTATTTTTTTCTCTTCGGTTTTCCAACATTTTAATGTTTATTTAATTATCAGTATTTGATCTAAAAGTAAAAAAAAAAATAGACGCTGGTCCACGAAAAAATGATCTCTCTATATTATACCTATACATGTATATATAGTGCGTATTTTTCCACCAACCCGCATTTTCATCGACACTGTATCCCGACGTATAATAATATTATAGACGCGCATGAGTAGTTTTCCCGAAGCGAAAATATATTGCTACACTTAGGTACAAAACGTGTTCGTTCAATATTAGTAATAATATAAATATATAATACACAATAGGTATTATAATAATATTATGTACACGACATTCTAGTATCAGATAGCAACTCAAAATAATATTCAACTCTAAAATATGAACAACGGTTTATATAAAAAATATAAAATGCTAGGAATTAGTAACTTCAAACTTTTTATTTTTGAATTCACCTAACACTTTTTGTAGTTTTCCGATTTATTTCGACAATATTGTTGTATCGAGCTTGTCATACGTCAGATTTAGCAGAAGTCATACCAGTAATAATATGATTATAAAGAAATGGACCAATAGGCATCATAATACTGCAACTTGTGTTCATTTATAGTGCGAGAGAGAGAGAGAGAGAGAGAAGTTTATCAAAATATTTTCATTAGGTGACCCAGGGACGGATTAGCAGAATTTTTCGGCCCGGAAAAATTATTTAGACCGGCCCTCTATACTATAATATCTAATGTTATACATAATATTACTCGTGTTTTTATGGGTGGTTCAAATATGAAAAAAATGTATGACAATTTATAACGAAATTAAAAACTATTTGCGGCCATAGCAGCCCTTAAGTCCCGATGGGCCCAATCTGGCCCTGAGGAGGTCTTTGGCAGATTTTTGGGGAAGTGCAGTCCATATTATTATATTCACACGTCAATTATTAGTATAACGTATAGCAATCCACTGTACAGACAAAATGTTTTTTTTTAACCTATATATCAATTCATTTATTTCATCAGCCCTGGGCATACTTATAGGTATGTAATAATGGCGTTATTATTATATTATTATCGTGGTACGAATTTTAAAAAAAAAACCTGAGGGGTGCCAAGAAGTAGAAGTCCGTCTTGGTCGACGGTGTGTTTTGTATTATGAGTATACCTATTACAGGTAAGTATGTACTAAGTGCACACACTAGTAAAGATATTTTGAGTATTATCATCACATCTATGCATATACCCATATCCTAATTATAGGCGATACCTACTGCAGACAATTGTGCAACGAATAATATTATAATCTTTTTCGTTTAGATTGTGATACGCACGCGCATTCGCCCTCGAAAAACCCAACTACTAGACCGTTACAAATGTTGTTTACGGCGTGTTCAACTGCGTATAATAATGTAAAAAAATATTATTTTATTTTAATATTCGCTGTAGTCGATCTAACCGATTTAGTATGATTTTTTGGTACGATTACGAATATTATTATACCGTGGCATACCTACGCCATTTTTACTGCAGTGGATCACGGCTGCAATAGACAGACGGGACGGC